CTATCCTTTCCCTGTTTGTCAGCTGTTGTTTGCCAGTTGACAGGTCTTTATTTGCCTATTTTCTGTCGGCTGCCTTCTTGCTTGCCCAACTCTTTTTACCGGTCCGCTCGTCTCATCATGTGTCATGTTTCTGCAGGTCAATGTTTTCCATTGGTAAGTCAGTCAGTCACATGATATGCCAAAACTGACCAGCCAAGGCCCAGATATGGCGTCCAGTGACCTGAGAATAGTCACTTTGAACGCAAGAGGATTGCGAAAGAGAGCTTGGGGAAGGGCTTCAATTAAATTTTTGCACAGGCAGTACCCTAACCATATTGTGCAGCGGAAAACTCCTTCGTCGCCATGGAACGTTAAATTTTGGGCAGCTTAATGGGGATATAGGGGTAATTTTTTGTGTGTAAGGCGCAAGCACCGGAGAATGTGACGCTGTTCTTTTGCAACGGAAAATAGAGTGCAAAGTCACTGAAATTCACAAGGACATAAACTGCAGTCTGCCAGCTGTTGAGCTTGAGTATGGCTCACGCGAGGCTGCTTTCTTGCGATGTGTGCCCCAGCTCAGGGTAATACGAAAGTTCAAGTTCAAGTTGCAAGATGTATGGAAGCGAAAACACCTAAACGTTGGGCGATACACATGGGGACAAGTGCAGCAGCCCAGATAAGACTATATTTTTGTCGGTAAGTCTACGACCAAAAATAATAGAATCACAAAAATAGGAATCAAACCCAGCGTTCTAAGTCATCATCGTGTTATAAGTTTAAAGATGGAGCTGTGCTTTAATGAAGGAGGTTCTGGCCTGTGGAGATTCAACCAATTATTTCAAGACAGTGAGTTTGTTCAGCCTGCCAAAGATAACATTAGAACCGCACTGCTGGATGGCAACATATATGCGGATGCTTGTGGTAACCGCCTGAAATGAGAACTATTTTCAGGTCAGATCCGAGCTGCAAGCATGTCGCAAAAGAAACAGTGGGCCAGAAATGCGCGGGCGCACGAGCAAGAAACATAACGCGAGCTGTATTCGGGCAATGCGATGCGCTTCCTAACTTAAGTTATGGGCACAAAATGATCTCTGCCGTCGACGCGCCCTTAAACCCAAGTCATCATCATCATCATCAGGCAATGCCGAATTGAGTTGGCTTGCAACAGTAACATCAGCGGCGACATGACCCCCGCCTATGTAGCACTAAAAGGGCGATTAACCACTTCAAAGAGGTCCAGTGACCCAGAGCAATTCCGAACTCTGGAACCAAATGGACCGAGCTTGGAGAGAAGCTTTTGAAACACTTTTTTAAATCTGTGTGCTGAAAGATGCGTTATGAAGCACATACATGTGTTATATATGTCGCATGGTGGGACGATTCAAAGTAACAGGGCAATCTCACAATGCTGCCACGAGTACTTCTCGAAAGCTTTTTCGATCCCCAAATAACGTACTACGTATTGTGACAGATACAATAGGCATACGAGAGCCTTACATGCCAGCCAGTTGCATGGTGCTAAGCGAAGACAAAACTAAATCGTGGCAGTTTTCATGAAGAATTACGGCGCAAAACCTTTTTAATGTAAAAACTGTTCAGTGCTAATTTTCTAACCGCGCACAGTTAGCGATTTTCGGCTACAAATCTTCAGCAGAGATTTGCACATGCTCGTGAAGGCGTATAATTTTGTACAATTGGGGTTACCTGGCTATAACCAAGAGCATGTTTTTGTGGACAAATATGCTGTCAGATCTCTTCCTACCGGAGGATTTCAAAGCTCATTAAAAACGCCCGTTAGCATCTCCGACGCATACGCAACAAAACATGTTTCGCATGCTAGCCACATGCATCAAATCAAACCCACATTCCAACCATGGACGACGTGACATCAGGAGAACAGGCAGAGAGGTGGTTTTGGTGCGTTTGAGATGTGGCCGCACTCGGCTCACGCATAGCTACCTTTTCAGTCGCTCTGCTTCGCCGGTCTGCGAGACTTGTAATGTCAGGCTTACGGTAGAACACGTATTGGTTAGATGCGCTGCTCTTGCTCGGGAATGTCGCTATGTCACGAGTTACTCGTTAACACACCGCCTCCTCCACACCCTCCAAACGCTGTTAGGCGTCAATGATCCTGTCTTAACCGATCTTGTCCTGGACTGTCGTGATTAAATCGTCATTGGGTACGAAAATCCGACTGGAACCGATTCACCTCTTTGCCCCTTGGTACGCACGGATAATGCTGGGAAAAGGTAATGACCCGGCACCCATTGTAACCGAGGTTTTACTACGGGTTTTTCCCACATATGTGCAGCGAATTGTGATCTCGAATGACGATCCTGGTTGGCCATATCTTCCGTATTGCCTAGCCTATCAAAACAAAATTGCGTAGATGTGGTTTTCCCGTAGTTCCCCTGTCTAAAGTGACCACCGGACTTGAAAAATCCGGCTTTTGTGCGGGATTAGTTACGGAGCCCCGCTCTCCTCTCTCGGCGACAACGTAAGCTGAAGCCACCAAAAAATCCTTCATCCTTGTAGCGTCCATGTTCATAGGCATGCAGTACTTAGAGCCTACTTACAGTACTTACAACACTTACTAACAGTACTAAGAGCTCACGGGGCTTACATGCCTTGATATGATCCAATACAAATGATGCTTGAATGAAATAATTCTGAAAGCTCGCCTTGCTCAACAGAGCACCGACGCATTAGTTTAGCATCACAACATAAACAACAATGGGATAGTCGGCATCCAACGCCCTCGACTGATGCACATTGCTGATGCCAGACCTGGCCATTCCTAGAATTTGGGTGAACTAAAGGCATGGGCTGAAGAAATATCTACAAAGGGTCTCGTTTCGAGGGAATGTTCCACATCTGATAGTAATGAAGCAAGTGCCCGGTATGATGAAACAAGTTCACTTTTAATCATCGGTGTACTTTTTAAGAAGAAAGAACTGCTCCAGGCCGCACAATCTCCTGTTTAGAAAATATGCGCCTCATTTCGTCTTGGTTTGATTACGTGCCTTGCACGTTTATTGAGAGCCAATTGACGGCCGTTATATCTGGAAATCGCGCTCGCAAACGCCAGATATAAACGCCTCGACAACTATATTTTTATTGGCCTTGATCGACGCATGGCTTATGGAATAGCAGGATTTGAACGACGTTATTATGACGTCATGAATGCCAAGGTGACTGAAGTATTTTCCCCGATATACCTTTCTCAATTTTCGTGGGCGCATAGCTCAGAAACTAGGGGGGCTTAGGCCTTAAGGAGGGTAGGATTGTGAGCTGCACCGAAAGGTTTTCATGGTAACTATTTCAGTTCAAACCTCCATATAATTGTGTAACACTCCCTTTAAGATGACAGACTTATCGGTCTTAGTTGGATGCATGTGGTTTACCTATAACATGTTTATGGCATTGCATAAAAGCAATCCTTTTTTGTCGGAGCGTTTAGCATATACCCGCATTTCATCAAAACATTTTGAAAACTTAAAGCAATTTTTTCAGTGCATCAATCCATCGCAAAAAACGGCAGTGTGAAGGCCCGGTGAGTGCATGTTTGCTCTAGGTAATATATAAATAACAAAGCACCTCCGGTATCACGCATCAGACAATTCATCTCCTGACGCTGCATCACTCAGTGCTGGCGGGCGGGCCGGCCAGTTCGGTGGTTTGCGAGGTTCACGGCTGTCAATTAAAAATACTGTCGTGCGCGGCGAGTCCAACCAGCCCTGAGCACCTGACAGTACCGTAGTAGCACTATCGGCTGGCAATGCGAATCGCTCGTTCGCCCCCACTTTTTCTGTTCACACGGCCCTCCGACGGCCCATTCTAAAATGCGACCAGTCGGCCCGCAGCGTGGTAGCCAACCTACAGCACCCCGCGGAAAGTGCCCATAATCGCGCGCGGGCATTCCATAGCACTGTCGTAGGGTGCTCAGCTGTCGTTGGAGCGTGCTCGTGAGCGAACGGCATCCATTTTATTCGATTGAACCCTTTACAGTGCATCACTAAATGCTGGCGCGCTGGCCGCAGCAGCGATTTGCTAAGTTACAATTATTTTTAAATGTTTATTTCGTGTCCGGCGGTTGGTATCGCGTACACGTGATAGTACGGCAGGGAGCATCATCGGCCGGCGGCGTGAATCGGTCTCCGGCTGACAGCACCTGGTTTGTCCATATGACACTCCGATGGTGTATTCCTAGATGCCGCCGGGGTTGACCCCTTACAGGTAGTGTTTCACTTTTGTGCCAGGTTTTGAATGACATAGCCATCCTGAACATCAGTCGGTGCAGTCCACACCCCTGCCCTTCTTAAGACATGAACTCTTCCAGTTGCTAAGCTACACGCCCGCGAAGACGTGGACTTTTTCGGGAACGTTTTCAAGATAACCCAGACACCCATGACGCAATGTCATAAAAATCCTAACATTCTGTTTGCCATGCGGCGATGAAAGCCTGGCAAAATATAACTGTCGAGTCGTTCAGATCTGCCGTTCGTCAAAACAATTTCCAGATACAACGGCCGTCAACTGGATCTCGATCAATGCTGTTCAAGGTAAAATGACGTAATCAAACAATGACGTATTCAGGGCCATATTTTCCAGAGAAATTGTGTACTCATTCCCACTTAGAAGTATGCAATTCGTATACCAAGAGCGAGCCTATTTCATCCTGATACTCGCTTCAGTATGTTCAACTGCTGAACATTTTCTTCACAACGCGTGGTATCGCTTGCGGGCCGAGCGCCGCGGCGATTTGCAAAGTTACAGCGGTCAGCTGACCGACTGTGGTACGCGACCGGTGCGATCGTGTTCACGTGACAGCGCTGTGGGGGGACCATCGGCTGGAAATGTATACATTTCGTTAGCCGACTGCCCGCGAATCCAGCAGACGCAATATTGCGTTACGCCGCTGTGCGTGAGGCGGTACTAGGTGTGTGTGGAGGAGGGGGGGGGGGGGGGGGGGGGAGGGGCGGGGCGGAGCGGGCCAAATGCCTAAAAGTCCTCCGATTTTTCCGAATTTCATATGGGAAATCAGCTTGTGTACCCGGCTAGACGAAGCCATAATGGTGAATTTGTCTCCGAACTTCGTAGAGGCGTGGAAGGACAGTGACAAGATTGGTACAAAGATGAAGCTAAATGTATTGGAGTGATTTTCAGGACACATCTGTGGATTGTGCCGCCGCAGTTCGGCCGGAGCCGGTGCCTCTCAGCAAACGCCGCTGGAACCGGCCCTCCCCCAAGGACAACCCGCGGGTGGCGATACGCGGCATCCACCACAGCGGCGGGGGGCTCGCTCCATGCTATCAGCGGTGCACTGGCAGGAGCATCTCAGGCGGCAGCGGCAGCAGCGGGGCGGAGCCGGCAGTGTCAGCGGGCGGTCGCGGCATGGTCACACGCGCGAGGCGCGGGTGGGCTGCCGGAGGCGACCGAGTGCGGGACACTCGTGCCAAACCCCCCGGGCTGAGCGGAGCGGCAGCGACCTGACCGTCCGCCGCGCACCGACGCCCCGGAAGCGAGCGACAGTGGGCTCATTATCGAGTGGTGACAGATAGGCTACTGAAGTCACTGTTGTGGGTGGTCCCGTAATGCAAGGACACCATTTGTGGGTGACCGGTAAGAGTGCCCGCGCACATCACCACCAGCCGAGCGAGACGTATGACACCCAGCGACGGCCCCGTCGGACGGCGGCATTCGAAGCACAGGTCTCATGATCGCACCGAGAGGCACGTCCTGTACGCTTTCAGCTACCACCTGGCACAATATGATTGTTTGTGACCGCCGATCAGCACGTGCTGCTCTCATTTCCGGCTGCCAAGTGGCACGTGCTGGGTGAATCTCGAGACCGTCGACATGCCGTCCACGAACTTGGTCTTGAACAGCACGTTGGCGTTGTTGAACATGCCGTCCTTGAGCGACACCACGATAAACTGAAAACAACCGTGATAGTCTGGTTAGTGTATCATGTGGTTGGCAAAGTTCAAATCAAACGTGTAACAACGCCGGCTTTTACCGGAAAGTTCATCTGAATTGTTTATGGCTTAACGGTTCTAGAACTGCACACTGGTTTCGTAACGCCGTAAATTTAACATGGACATTCGCAGGGATCAGGTAAAATAGAATTTTAGGGCTTCTATACATAGAACCAATTGTAGCGTAATGCTCAGAAGCACAATCAATTGTTCTATGTAACTAAACCAATCAGTATTTCTTAAACTCGGCTAATGCCAAGACCTTGAGATGAATAAAAAAGATTCTGAAAAGGGATGATGGCAGCATGACAGGAACTACTGGTCGTCCTTCCAGATCCAACCGAAGGCCCAGCGGGATCTACAAGTTGTGCAAACGATTCGCACGTCTACTGTAATGATGACCATGGCAGACGGCTCGAATCCACAGCCAATGGCCTTAACCCCCGTTTGCTGTCGATCGCAGACCGATGTGTGTAAAATCCCAAACAGCTGAATTGACTCGAGTAGCCGTAGGAACGACTGCAATCCACCACTGGTCATGGGACGTTAAAACATTCTGGCAACTGCACTAGCCGAGGGCGCAGTTAGCCCCGGAGACGGAAGTCGCACCGCGGGGTCCCCGCACGTCCGACTGGAGCTAGCACGACTGCGAGACCTGCCCGCTCTCGTTCCGGCCTACCCGGCCGATGTACACAGAGCGGCAAACACGACACGGCGCGACGGCGGCGGGCTTCCATTCTCAGCGCGGCGGTGGGCCTCCAGTCTCGACGCGGCGGTGGGCCCCCGGTCTAGGCGCGGCGGTGGGTCCCCAGTCTCAATGCGGCGGTGGGTCCCCAGCTTCGGCGCGGCGGTGGGTCCCCAGTCTCGACGGGACGGTAGGTCCCCAGCTTCGGCGCGGCAGTGGGTCCCCAGTCTGGACGCGGTGGTGGGTCCTCAGGTCTAGGCGCGGCGGTGGGTCCCCAGCCTCCCCGCGGCCTGACCTGCGAGTGTTGGAAGTGGGTGCGCAGCATAGTGCCGATGTTCTGCGTGTGCGAGAGGTCCAGCGCGGCGTCCACCTCGTCCAGGATGTAGATGGGTGCCGGCTTGAAGAGCAGCAGCGAGAGGATGAGCGAGAGCGCCACCAGCGAGCGCTGGCCGCCACTCAGCTCCGCCAGCGACTCCTTCCAGACGCCGCCGAACGCCACCCGCACCTGGGGGCACGGGCCACAGCATAAGTCAGTCAGAGTCACCTAGTCACACCACACAAGGAGACACAGATCGAGGTGAGAACCCCAGTGCTGAGAGGGCATGCCAAAATGAGAGAACGTCAGGCTACGGGCCTTTAGCGCACTGTGGACCGGAAAACAGCAAGACGTGTGCTACGCTCAGCTTCCCCGGCCATCTAACCGGGAGAAATAGCCTGACAAGTACTGCGGCACGCACAACAGACATCCGCGGCACATCCTGCCCCGCCCTGATGTCTTCCAAGTCCTCAATCGCTGCCTCGGTACTGATTCCAACACGCAGCCAACGGATTGGTTCTCAACCCGTGTATCTGCCGAGG